AATGTAACGAAAATAGAAAATATCTGATTCAAAATTTGAAAGATTAATTAAAAAAAATTTTTTTGGTATCAAGTGTTCCAGTATATGCTAAGGAAATATTCCTAGTATCATTTAACAAGAACAACAACCAGTCCGGATCGTTGATATAATGCAAAACGGATCCATACCATATATATTTTGACTTTTTTCCCATAATTTTTCTAAATTAAAAATTATCAATCCCTGGTCGAATACAAAAGGTAAAAAGAATAACATGTCCTCTGCCCAGAAATAACATATTTGGAAGATGTTTTTTTTTTAAAAATCAATTCCCACCAAGCAAGGCAACAAAGCCACTCAGTCTCAAGGTGTTACTGAGTGTTAGAGAATATGAAAAAAAGAAAAAATACTATTAATGAGAGAACAATAAAAGAAGTTGACTGGGAAGCAAGAAGTCGGAAGATAGTTCCACAAATAAGAAGTGCGAGAGAAGAAACTGATAGCATAGAACTTACGGTTACATATAGCCACTTCAACTATAAAATGATGGTACCTGGGCGCTAATCTATTTAGTCAGTTAAGAGACTGGCGAGGTACACTCTTTTTCGATTCATGATTGAGTAGGCAGAAACATTTTTCCCGTAGTGCGTTGCCGTTTCTTTCTATGATAGACTGGTTGTCACCCATAGCAAATAGGTTTGTCCTGCTTAATAGCTAGGGGAGAAGAGATGATGTCATCATTTCCCAACGGTATTTGCGCGTAAGTGAAGATAACGAACCAATCTAGTACTGCGCTTAAATTCATAAAGTTTCGCTACCCTGGAGGAAATTAATATGTATTTCGAATAATACAAAAATGTTACATGAGGTTAAAAGGAGGGATAGGAGAAAGCTGGTCTTTAATATGTCTTATCTTAAACTTAGCCCCAGTTATTGACCCACACAATTCCTTACACCAAAATAACACATTCTTACTTACCATTCATACTACAGTCACCATAATACCTTAGGTCTCTTTAGAAAGAATTTCACCAAAACAATTACCATAAAATTATTTATAAAAAAGGCACAGGAATGTTCGTTACGACGCTGGAAAATTGACTGAAGCCGAGATGCCAGGTTCAGACCACTATCATTGTAGATTGCTAAAATTGTCCAAAAGATGGCATAATTATGTGGGGAAAAGTGCAGTTTGCCCACTGGATGTGCGGGGATAGCAACCAAATAGACCGTGATGAATGTGGTGGTGTCACTTATCAACCTCCAGAATCCCGATAGCACACGCGCTGTAGTTCCTTGTTATTCATAGCGTTGACAATGTTATATGTCAATCAGTTTTGACTGACAAAGCTCAATCGAGATAATTGGAAACTCTGAGTGCTATATGCGACCCGAGTAGTCTGTTGATAAGACACTGGCAGAGGTCATTAATATCCGAATCACATCTCAGGTATATGACCCCTGTCATTGCTTAAAATAACTGTCACCAAGCATCCAGTGGCGAATCTAATGAAGCTTAAACATCAGGGCCTTTGACCGCAGGATGGGTCACTGCAGCAATTTTTTTTAATGAGAGAATTTTTCATCAAAATCGATGGATTGTTTTTAGTGTTTTTTTATTAAAATAAGTCCGTTTTAGTGATAGAATCATAAGCCAATGGGTTGAAGTAGCTAATGTTGATTTTAGAATATGTCAAAATACCAATTACATATAGCATCAAAAATTCTCCTGCAATTAGTAAAATTTCAAAATGTTCTTGGAGACTTTTGGCACTTGGACTTTTTTGAGCTCGCCAGAATCTATTCCTGGCCTATATTTTGGCAGTTGGAGTCTCGAATCTATTGTTGCTGGTTGCAAAGGAGCCCCCATGTCTGTTCAAGCTTCAGGGCCCGAAAATGTATGCCCACTACTGCCTCCATCTAAAAACTGACCAGACTCGACGGTGTTTAACTTCGGTGAATATAAAATAATAAAAAAAAAGATATGAAATATATATATTAAATATATATTAAATAGGTAAAAAATATATACGAAATATAGTGATTTTCCAAGCATAGCTTAAATGTGGCACAAGGCCGAAATTAGGAAGGCACCCAGTGAGAATCGTACTCGTTACTCATTCGTAATTGTTCTAGCGAGACAAGTTTGCTGACGATTACACCATCTCGAAGTGCCCATATATATATATGAAATATATATTAAAATAAAAGGTATGAAATTCAACTGACAAGATCTGTCAGATTATTTTTAATGTAATTTTCGAATACGTTCTAGCGAACCTGCGGCTGAACTGAAATATTTTATTCGACCTGTGCGTTCGTCAAGAGCGAAATAAGGTCGTAGATAAATGCTTTGTTAGCGACATCAATTTTCAGCTTTAAATACGTGCAATCGTTTATTCGAAATTTAATTAAATGACGTCATTTATTCGAAAATGCAGAAAATCCAATAAAAAAATATTAAACAGACTTTGTCGGTTAAATTTACTAAAAACCTTTCCTTAAAAATCATCTGTTTTCGTCTGAACTTAAGAATTAACTCAAAAGCTGAGTAAATGCCATTCAACGGTTCACTGTCATCTGAAACAATTCGGAAAGATGCACAAACTTGGAAAACAGGTTTCACTTGATTTGGTGGATGTCAACAGAAAAGCATTTACGTGAACTATCAATTAATAACTAGTTATGAAAAGTTGATATTTTACAAGAATATTAGCTGGTACAGAGTATGGCTCATTGGAGGTGAACAGGTTAAAGAACCCAAAATACACCTTTGTGCAAATTAATTGAAACAACCACTTTAGTTTCCTTTCTTTCACAATTCGGTCAGTTTTAGACCCACTAGAGTGAGAGGGTGTAATCAATTTATATTTTCCCTCAGATTATGTGTGGTGTGCTGTAATATGAATTTATTGTCGGGTGTATGATGAAATTTGTTTGGCCTTAAAAATATTGCGTCATCCGAGATTGCATGAGATTTTCATCACGTACAGACACTATTGTCTTGACTGTCGATTAGTTGTCCTACGGCCATTGTTTGCGATGGACGTTGCTCCAAGGAGGCGTACGAAAATTGTAGCGCTACACGAAAACAATGGCAAGCCTTACCAGTGAGCAAATCAAATTACTATCGACTGGTTCGGAAACTCTTCTGATTTAAATCCAATCGAGAATCTGTGGTCAATCTGCAATGACTTTGTGGAATGGATATACGAAATACTAACATGTGCGTTGAGTCATGTTTCATTGGAAAAATACGAAAAAGGTAAATAAAAACGGAAATATTTGCTTTCTTATAATTAATTAGCCCAAGAGTGTAGACCTCTGTTCAAGTAAAACTTTGGTATTTTAATAATGTGACTGTGTTGGTGTCGTCCGCATAAACCAATATCCTTCCGACGTCAGTTTAAACAGCGATATTTTTCATCTATTTAAATTATAATTATGGACTATAATTCCGTTGAGCAAACATTTCACTGAAATATTTTGAACCAGTAAGTTAACTGAATCAAATTTTCAAACGAAAAGTTCACTGACCTGAGATGGAACAAATACATTGAATCAATTGCAAGGAAAGTTGGTTCCCTGTGTCGCGACAAAAAGTTTTTCTCACCCGAGTCCATCCTTCAAATCTATATATCAATCATTCGCCCTTGCATGGAATACTGCTACCATATATGGTCTGGTGCCCCCGCAGTCCGCCTTAAGGTCCTCGACAAGATCCAGAGACGGGTATGCAACGTGATTGGCCCTGATCTGGCATCTCGTCTATAGTCACTCTCTCACAGACGTGCCGTCGCCTCTCTCTGTCTTTTCTACAAATACTTTCACGGTAACTGATCTGACGGGCTAGTTTCGCTGGTTCCCAGGCTGCATGAATTTAAGCGTGCTACTAGTCCCACCCATTCACTGTCGAAACGGTTAAATGTGGCCATCTCTTCTACTCCAATAGCTTCATATCTCGCACCTCACGCCTGTGGAATTCCCTTCCTATTACTTGTTTCCCCTGATAGCTATAATTTCTAACTATTCAAATGTAATGTCAATCAACATCTCCAGATACCTTGATCTATTCCCTGTCCTTCTCTTCATCCTTTCCTCCATCACGCCTCTTTACTCTCACTCTCACTCTCTGTAACCCCTTGTGTGCTAGTGGCATCCCGCCTTAGTTCGGGTGAAATGCTTAAAAAAATGTGCCAAATAGATAACATTCATCCTTACCATTTAACTCAAAATACCAATAAAAATAAATACATGTAGGCATATTAACTTATATTCTCTTTCTGGTACCATTCAGTTAACGACTTCTTTTCATATAAATAAATGCGAATGTCAGTGTGTCACACATTTTCAACTTTACTTCTAGAGCCCGTAGCCTAACATATCATACTATTTTGGAATCAGGCTGACTCCGTGAGCAAATTAAAAACATTCAACATCGGATCCAGTCCCGCAATCCTGAAATTTTGGATTCCCAAGTCTTCATTGCTGCGATTGCTTTCGGCAATTTTTTACGTGATTTTTTGCGACGAATTTTTTTTGTAGGATATGACTTTGAAATAAATTTAGGAATAATCGAAATTAATTATTAAATCCTGCGAAAGTGATCCATAAAAAAAAATAACTGTTTCTACGGAAAGTAAGGAGCTACGTACATCAAATTGTGTTTAAATTAAGTGGCAGCAGAAGAATTGACAGAAGGCTGGCTTAAATATTAATGCAATACTTAAATGCAGCGACCAAGTTATTCTGTAGTTTGTTGCCTATCGCATACGGCAGCAGTATGTCTCGCAAAATGAAATCTCTGCCGACAGAAGACCAGATTGCATTCGAAAGAAATAAATAAAATCCCAGATCAACCGGCACTCTGGAGAGATTCGAACGTAAAAACTTTGGGACTCTCAAATTCCGAACAAGTCGAAGGCCCAAACAAGAGCCCGTCGCAGAAGCTAGCCTAAATGCCGCTGGATTTATAAAATCTAATTTTTGAAAGTTTCACATTTTACTGAAATATGGTGGGCTTACGGCAATATCACGTTGAAACACCGGTCCCCGTATAATCACTGTTAAGCAACGTCGAGCCTGGTCAGTACTTAGATGGGTTACCACTTGGAAATACCAGGTGCTGTAAGCTTGGATGTGCGGGTGGTGTAATGGATGATGGCTCGGAATTGTTAATTGGAGAGCCGAGTTCCTATTTCAGTTGGGTTCGTTATGTTCACTTATGGCTAAATAAACTTGGGAAAGGTATGAATCCACCTGTTCTCCACCCGATATAGGTTAATTAGTAAGAATTGTATCACTAAATCATTATTATCTGTAAAAAAAAATTCTTAGAATCTAAAAATATTTTCTGGCTTTAGATAACCTGCAAGTTTTCGTCTGAAGACAAGAAAATAACAGACGTTAAACAGAATGCTCAAAACATATCGAAATAAAAGTGGGTATTAGTTTAGTTCAGCAACTCTCAACCGGGGTCCATATAAACCATAGATACCATATAACATGAATGAGGGTCCACACAAAAAAATAGGGGTCAACAGTAATATTTTAGTGACCCGTAAAGCAATTTCACTTCGGAACGGTTGTCACAACTAAGAATTGGAATGTCTACAGAAATCTACGGAACATGAAAATACTAAAAATAGAAAAACAACTCTAAAAATCTCAGAAAATGAGATCAAACGATCTAAATTAGCGTCCCTTTTACTCTTCCGGATGTTTTGATTGTAAAAGTTGAATAATATATCGATATTTAGGCTAAAATAACTCCTGATAACATTATTGAAACATTCTAGAATATTCCACTTGAATAATCTAGAGTATTAAAGCAATTTAAAAGTTTCAAAATCTGAAATTTGCAATGTACGAATAGTTTTTCAGCCGTTAAAATGGATGAATGGGATTTATTTCTATTTAATCAAATTTTTCTCCTGTTTTCTATGCATTTTTAGTTATTATGCATCTGTATACAGTTAATTATATGAAAAGTATATTTATTTATTAGTTGGAAATACAATAAATTGTGTACGAATATTTGTTTCCCCCACTGTATAAAGGAAAATTATATAAAGATTATAATTTATTATATAAATTAATTTAATATATCAATAATAAATAATAATATTAATTTTAAATATTAATAAAATAAAATATCAATATATGAATTAATATAGTAATAGACTCAACATTATGAAAAGGGGTGATCTTCGACTATCATTGACATCGATGGAACCGAATATATAAAACAAAAAACTCGCAGATTAGCATCAACCACAGGGATCTCATTAAATAAATCTGAAGTTTTTCAAAATTTATTCACTTAAAAAAATTAAAAATGAGTTAATTTACATAAATGTTCCGTGGAATTTATTAATTTATTTTCATGAAATTAGTTTTACTTCAAACTAAAGCATATACGTTTATTATTTCTTTAATACAATTCCTACACATATCTATCGGTAAAAAATAAAATCAGCTTTTATTTATTGAATGGTTATGGGGGTCCACCCAAAAAATTATGAGTAAATGTGATGCATGGGTTAAAAAAAAAAAGAAGTGAGGAACGAATGGTCAAATTAGAGGTCCAGTCCTGGGTATGACGATAAACTACATACGGCAGCAACGTCTCTGATCAGGAGGTTTTGATGAGCGTGAAAACACCTCTTAATTGCTGTTGTTCCCAGGTCCACCTTCATTCTGGGTGGTAGAGCCTGTTAGGGTCCCAACTATGGACAAATAATCAACCTCCAAACAAAAGCAAAACATTATGAAAGTATAAAAATACATCTGTATATAAAACAAATTACTATCAATACTTATTTATAGTAAAATTACCAGCAAGACAATTTTAAAGCAAAACGATCAGCAGTACATTTTATAGTAGAATTATCAACAATACTTTTTATAACAAAATCACCAACAATAGTTTTTATCTGTAGTCGAAGGCATACAATTACATTCAAAATATATCTAGTTTATGCCATAAAATTGTGTTCAAATATTTAGATTTCGGCGTTAAATAATGCATTTTTTAAAAATCTTTTCATTCCAAGCAAGGCAATAAAGCGACTAAGACGCAAGGGGCTACTGAATATGATAGAAAGAAAATATTGTTAAAGAGTGAAACCAATAAAAGAAAAGGAACTAAGATGGAAGACAATTGTATTTCAATTTTCGAAGATCAAAGTTGACTGGAAAGAAGTAGGCCGAGAGACAGTGCTACCAGGGAGAATTGTGAAAAAAGAAACTGTTAGCATAGGACTTACGGTTACATCTGGGCCATTTCAACTGTAAAATGATGAGAGCTAGAATGTACCAATCTAGTATTGCGCGTAAATTCATAATGCCCAAATATCAAAGAGGAAATCTCATCAGAACAATTACAATGATAATATTTATAGAAAAGGCACAGGGAAGCTACGTTACGGTGATGGAAAAGTGACTGAAACCGAGATGTCAGGTCAGGACCGATAACATTGCAGATTCTTGTTGTGCTTTTATCAAGAATCTCTAAATATATAGCAAGAGCACCGGACCATATTCAGCAGCAAGATTCAAAGTAATGAAGAATGGTAGACTTGATATGGTGTAAGAAAAAATTGTCTGGTACAATGCAGTGAATCAACTTTCCTAACAGTAAACTTGGCAAATGATTCAATGCAATCTTTCTACTCCATGTTAGCGGAAAAAGTTAGCTGGAAAAGGTGCAAACAGTCAGTCTACTGGAGATTAGCATCAGCCACGCTGATGAAAGGCAATAAAGGTTCTCAAAGACGTTCAAAAGAGAACAGTTTCGTTTTGGAGGTGTTAAAATTAACAGGTCATTTCTTGCCCCAGTTAACAACAGATTGTAGGTCGTTTTTTATATAAGCTGCCAATTTGCCCTTATCGAACGGATCAGACTTACTATTACGGCAGGAGTTACTAATCGTTACAAAATGGGTATCGGTTGGTGAGGTAGTTTGCTTGACAATTCCTAATGAGTAGCGAGTTCGATACTCCCTGTCTTCCATATTATCCTATAAGCACCTCGAAATTGGTAAAACTTACTGAGGTATTCTGGATGACCATTTCTACTGAGTAGAGAGTCTGATTCTCACAGCGTCCCTTATTGTCCTATAGGCACCTCGATGTTGGTAACGATTACTTAGGTAGTTCGATCCTCACTGTGTCCCATATTATTCTATAGGCACATCGAAATTATTGACGATTTCTGAGGTAGTCTGGTTGACCATTCCTACTGAGTAGGGAGTTCGATCCTCACTGTTTCTCATATTATTCTATGGGCACATCGAAATGGTTAATTATTATCGACGTAGTGTGGCTAATCATTACAAGTGAATTCGATCCTGACTGAATTTGTTCCTACGAAGGGATAAATGATTAGTGAGGTAATATGGCCGAATGTTGGAGGATTTCCTCAAAGATGAAGAAGAGACTCGAGGTGACAGAGATATGGTTCTACAGAAGGATGCTAAGGATATCATGTGCCAAGTGTGTGAGCAACGATGAGATCTTAGGGAGGTTGCAACAACGAGGAGGTTTATTCTTAATATCAGGAAGAGGCATCTGAAGTTTCTGGGACACATAATGAGGGCCTGGAGAATCTGATACTCACGGGTCGAATAGAGGGAGAGAGAGACAAGGAAAAGCTGTGCGTGACATACCTAGCGGCCTTAAGCAAGTGGATGGTAGAATCTTGTCTGGGGGAGGTGGCAGAGGGAAGGAACTTGTCGAGGTCTGCAAGGGATAGAGGGAAGTGAAGAGCGATGATCGCCTACTTCCTGAAGGAACATGGCACATAAAAAGGAAAATAAAGTGAATTCGTTGTGCCACATCGAAGCTAAGCTTAAGTAAATGAATATCAGACGTCCAGTTGTATAGTGATTTCCTAAGCGTAGCTTAGATGTGGCACAAGGCCGAAAGTAGGGGGCACCCAGTGAGGATCGAACTCACTACTCAGTCCATAATTATTCTAGCGAGACAGACGTCCAGCTGTATAAGAAATTGGTTCATTATGACGCTTGAAGTGAGTTATTGTTCATTATTATTGTTATTGAAGCGATTTCAGTTTTCCTTTCGAACTTCCATACTAATGGTCTTATACCTTACAAGGCTAAGGTTAGTAAATACGCATACCCGAATAATTGGATAACCGAAAAAAAGAATCAAAGTTGTAGCTCAGCTCTTAATGGACCGGAAAAATGAAGCCAGTGTGTGTGTGTGGAAATAGGGTTTGAGTTCATGTCTCTAGCCCAGCAAATGCTTTCTATCTGTTTCTTCCCCTCCCTCCGTTTCGTCCGATGTTTAATTAGTCCAATCCCCACCACATTTAAACGGATAGATGTGAAAACGTTAGCTCGGAGAGTAACTTGCTCGTTAACCACCACCTCACAGTGAGTGGCTCATGCCAAATGCAGTCAGTCTAGCGAAAACTGTTTAATGGGTGAGATGTCTGCACACATCGGAGGCAGACGTTGGGGTGGGGGTTTAAACCTGGACATAATCACATACACACACTGAAATACAACAAGGCAGATGAAATGACAACAAACACACAAACACAGTAAAAAAGGCTGGCAAATGAAGCCCGTTTAGATGCATAAAAGATAAGGACGCCGAAATTAATATGTGTGTGTGTGTGTGTGTGTGCGTGTGTGTGTGTGTGTGTGAGTGTAATAGGAATTTTGGAGATTTCAATAAGAATTCTTAAGAGAATGCACTGGACGGTCATTTCGTACTTTTTTAGGGGATTCACGGATGGAGCGGCGTGAAAGAAGACATTTCTCTTGGGGGCCGGTCCAGTGGTGGGTGTATACTTGGATGAGTATCCACACCGGAATTAGATGTAGCTATGCTATACTGTGCCAAGTTAATTTGCTCTTCATCTGGCCCAGTGGTATAACGTTTGCGTTGTATTGGAGCGGTCGGGGTTCGATTTCACGCAAGTGGATGCGGACTACCAATGAACTCTAAAAATGAACGAAATGGCTGTCCAGTGTATTCGGTTGAGGATTCTTCTTCTAAACTCGTCGGATTTTTTTAAATATTGGAGAGAAAATAAATAAATAAATAAATATATAAAAATAAAAATAAAAATATATATATATATATATATATAGGTGGCTTT